ATATATATAAAAAAATATAAAAAATCTTGGGGTGCCTTTACTTTGAGAATGACCTAAAAATGGCATCTTTCCACTTACTGGACTTGTGGGGATCCAGTTATCTATTGACTTGAGTTATCGCTACTTTTTTGCTTTTGTTTTGCAGGAGAAGCAGAATGAAAAATGGCAGGGAACGAGAAGGATCCTGTTTCTTGTGTGTTTTACCTAAAATAGGCATGCTTTGATTCAGAATTATTCTCACAAAATGTTTGTAGGAAACTATTGCAAAATTTTTTGCCAGCAGCAGGAAGAACCTCGCTTGTGAACTTGCAGAAATAATAGTTAAAAAAAACCCCTTTAGGTTAAATTATGACTTTTGATGTAACATTCTGGGAACCAGAGACATAAACCATGAGCATTCCTATGCCATTTTTAGTCATTGTCAGAGGTCAAATGCACTATAATGCAGAACTTTTCAAAACCTGCTTTTGAAATGTCTGTCCTTGTGCTGTCTTCATACTAAAAGATTTTTGGTGTGTCGGTGAGTGTTGCCATTTACTGCTACTTCCCAGCAGGAAGTCCAGTCTGCTGACATAAATAATGAAAAAGGGAGTCCCCAAAAGGAGACCAGTGCATGAAAGAGGCTGGAGACCTTTACAGTTTTTTGAAGGTAAGTTCTCCTACTTAGTAACAATAGTTTATTTTGGAAAACTACTTACACTGAACTAGCATTTGACTAAATTACTAGTCCACAGTAAAACTTACCTTCAAACAACCGTGAAGGTTTCCAGCTCTTATTTTCTGTTGTTTAAAAGCCACATTTTCACAGGCTATGAGCCACGCATCCTGCTATTGTTAAGGATGTAGAACTCCCACTGACAGCAATGCAGAGTTCTGCATAGAGGTAGGTGTCAGAACACAGTGTTATGTCAGCAGACTGCAAGATGTTCTTTCATTTTGTGGTTAATCACTAGATTTTAATAGACATAAGCAATGCAAGATTTTAAACTCCCTTCAGCTGAGCCGAAATTACTATCTTTCGGTTAGTAAGATATGTTAGTAAGTATGTTTCTCTCGGTTCTTTTTCTGTTTTGATGGAAAATAGTGTGATTTGCACTGTTTATCTGTATACCACAAGTAAGGCATCTATAGGTCAGAAGTAATTTTTTCTTTTGTTATGTTTTTTTTTTTGTTACTGGTTTGGGTTTTTTTCTTTTGTTGGGTTTGGTGTTTGTTTGGGGTTTTTTTTAATGCCCATGAGGGTTTGTTACAGCTATAAGGCAAGGCTGACTGGGTTAGCCATTTCTGCATGCAACCCATGATGAAAACCGGTAGAAAAAGATAGATACTATAACAAGGCAATGGCAGTTGGATACCAGCGTAGATGGTCCTTTGTGTGAGCTACGTTGGCTCTTTTATGTTCATTTTGCCAACCTTGTTCCCTAGATAATTGCTTCTGTGTTCTTTGATTACCTTCTTTTCACCTAGTTTAAAAAATAAAGTAGGTGTGAACTACTGAGAGTTGAATCATCAGTGTTAGAGCTTCCCAAAGCCTGAATTTCAGTAAGTGTTAGGTAGTTAGTGTTTACAGTCCTGAGGTGATTGCAGTATAATTCCAGTTAATTCCTCAGTCTTTTGAAGAGCCTCTGCGGTCTTCAGATAACAGGTAATCAGATAACATAAGGGATAAGATCCATGAGTTAAGTCTTTCAAATACAGGATATAGGTTTCTGTGCCTGCTGATCTCTCCAGCTTGCTGGTTACTAGAGTTAGCCAGCGTTGGAGAGTTTGTGATGCTGCGTCTTACAGGTAGAGCAACAACAGACATAAGGAAAACTTAAAACTCATCTACAAAGCTACCTGGCATTCTTTTCTCTGCCGTTTTCCAGATTTCCACCTCCTTGTAACCAAGTATGCTTGATGCTGTGCTATTTATTGCAGTCTGGATTCAGAGGGATTAGAGTCAATAACTCAGGAGTTTTGCAGTACTTGTTAATGCAGCAAGGCAGAAAGAGGCCTAGTAAGGATGGAAACGTCCCACTGCACTTACTGTACTAATGTGATCTTACTTTCTCTTGTCTTCCTAATTTCAGGTTTGAACGATGGGTTCAGACCATGGAAAAGCTGCAACAGCTGTTTTCAGAGAAACAGTTTTTGTTTGGTGTTAGTAGAGATTTCTTTTAGGGTATTGCAGCACACATAATTGATTTCAATATTTGACAAATCCTGTTTTTTATTTTAGGGAAGTGCAAGCAAGCCAGCGCTCTGTGGCCATAATTGCTGAGATGATCCACACGGCTAGCCTAGTTCATGATGATGTTATTGATGATGCAAATTCTCGTAGAGGAAAAATGACAGTCAATCAAATCTGGGGAGAGAGGAAGGTGAGTTTGCTATTATATGCAAGATTTGCCTTTGAGTTGCAGCAGAACACTAATACCTAGGGTTTTTGTCACATTACTATCCCTAGGCACAGTCTTGGGACATGCTAGAAAAAGTATGAAGAGGTGTGCACAGATTGTGGGTAACACAAATGTGTGTTCCTTTTCTGAACTCTTGGAAGCATTAAATAATGTATGATTGTAGTGTGATTCTTACTGATTTTACATTCCCTGTGCCATTCTCTGTGGTGCTGTTGGAATACTTTGAACTTGTACCTCATCCAGAACACTGTATGTTACTCTGATTCAGTAGTAAACGCAGACAGGTTTTCAGTCAGCATGAAATTTTTTTTGAGTTTTTGAGAGAGGTGTTTCTTCATAAAGCATTAAAAGGAAGGTCTTAATCAGAAAATGCAAAGGAAGAAGTACACTGCTGACGCATCAGAAATTATCATGGCAATTCAGAGCTAACGTGGCATAACAGTCACAACAGAATGGTCAAATAGGGAAGTAATGTTCAAAAAAACTTCACAGGCAAACATGTATTCAGATATTGCATACAGGGAGGACAGTGCTTATACAGAAAAATATAAACAAGCACTATAAGATAGGGGTTCAAAAATGGTTCAGATTTTAGTATTTGGTTATCTTCTGTTTTCTGTTACAGTAAGATATGTGTGTTTTATGTAGGAAAATGATGTGATGTGAGTAGACCTGCCAAATAAAGGAAATTTTATTGTCTGTAGTAACACTTACAGGAAAAGACTTAAAAGATCAATTTTTTTTTATTATTCTTAGGCTGTTCTAGCTGGTGACTTCATCCTCTCAGCTGCTTCCGTAGCTTTAGCACGAATTGGAAACACTACTATCATCTCTGTTCTAACTCAGGTGATTGAAGATCTGGTGCGTGGTAAGGTCTTTTTCTGTTTTTATCTTCAGATTTGCTTGCCTAAGCAGTAAATCCACAAATAAAAACTCCCATCTGTGCAACTTTTTAGGTGAATTCCTCCAGCTGGGTTCCAAGGAAAATGAGAATGAGAGATTTGCTCACTACCTCGAGAAGACTTTTAAGAAGACTGCAAGTCTTATAGCAAACAGTTGTAAAGCAGTATGTACGTCTGTCTCTTCTAAAGTTAGCATACCACACTGTAAGCTTCACAGCTAAACTCCTAGTTATTGCTTTTTTCTCTGGAGACCCTACAAAGCAAACCCTTTAAATGGTATTTGGCCAGAATGTGAATGGGTTTGAGACTGAACCATGGTAAAATGCACAGCTGTGTAGCCTCCCAATACTTTCACTTCTTCTTTTCTGTTTTATATTCATACACAGATTTATTGTTATTCTCACTTGAATCAAAAAAAAGGTTCACAGTGGCAACCTTTAATTTATGAAATTCTGCAACTTTGAGACAGTGTTTTTAATCTCAGTTGATAATTCTTGAACCTGTAATTTGATTTGAAGTTGTCTTTGACATCTGGTCCCAGTCATTGGTGCTGAGTGGGACCTTAAATTATAACAGTGGGAGGAAAAACTAATTCTGTGTACTCTACATTATATTGTGAAAGAACAGAAGCATGTACTTCTTGATTTGTCTGGAGTTTTTAATTATCAATTGCTATATGCAAACCTGTCTGTCACTCCGTTCTGTTACTTAATTACAAAAAAATTCAAGATGATGTTCTTATTGAAAAAACATGTTTAATTTTAGTGCAGAAAATGGAGAAGGTAGGCAATAATCTCCCCCTAAAGGACAGCTATAACTTTTTTTTATTATTATTAAGGGCGGTATAGCTGGTGTATGCTATAGCAAGAGTTCTACGAGAATTAGACTGAAAATCTGTGCTAGTGTTAGTCATCCGCCTTTGTTCTCAGAGAACTGGTACGTTTGTGCAATAGACAGCGGTTGAAAATTGCTTAAATCAAACGGATCATATAGAATGAGATGCAGATTTTGTGGAGAGGGAAAATATCTTTCATTCTAGTTGGGGGAAAGAAATTAAGTCTTCTGGATTGCTCATTTTAATGGCAATATGACCCTGGCAAGAATTTCCCTTTGCAAGTCTTCATTCATATTAGTGGGCAATTGGACTCGTAAGGAGCATCACGTTATTCTGCTACCTCAATAAAAACATACAAGTTTTTATAGTCACTTTGACAGTCTTCCTAAAAGAACCTTCCCAGGTAGAAGAAATCACCTTCTTACTGGGTGGATTCTCCTTGCAAATGTGCTGTTTTGAGGGGTTTTTTTTCATTTTCACAACTCACAATTAAGGATTTAAACGCTTCCCTCCAGACTGTGACTGTGATGCTGGTGAAGGGGGTCTTTGGCTGCTTTTCTTCTAGTGGTTGTGCTGAGTTGTTCCATTGCCGAATTGCTGGAATTTTATATGTGTTATAAAGGAAAAACGGGAGCGAGGTCTGTCTTTATGGCAAAACCATACTTACTGCACACAGTAGGAATGACTTGTATACATATATGTCTCCCTTGGTTTCTTTCTGCATGAATTAGGATAACTCTGTTGATAGCAGTGAAAAGAGGATTTTTTTGTTGTTGTTGTTTGCGATTGGGGTGGGTGGTGTCTTTTTTTTGTTTAGATGGTTTTGGCTACTAAGGAAAAGGATGGAATCAGAAGGGAGTTCTGTTTTCTGTAGTGAAAATGATAAGCAGGATCAGCAGGTCCACCTTGAAAGGAAATTCAGTTGGGGAATCAAGAGGATTCACATCTTGTTTACAGGGACCAAGCTAAGGAGAGAGATTATTGGTTTTCAGAACATCAGTTACAATCAGGCTAGTGTGTCATTAGAAGCAGTTCATTTCCTGTTAATGGTAGGAAAAACCAGTGATTTGTTTCTGTGCATAAATAAGATAAAAGTATTAACTGGAAAGACTATGTCAGACAAGCTCAGGTGGCATCTTAGAATCCTACCATGTCATGCCTTAGAGATGGAAGAGTACAGTATTCTTGGAAAAATGTTTCAACAAGATAATAGATAGTCTGTCAACACTGGTCTAGTCACTATGAGATACCTTCTGCATCAGCAATGCATTACTGCATTTAAATCAAAAGTCCTTTAAGTTAGCAAATTAATTTTTTTTTTAATGGCAGAACAGTCTGTTCAAGATGTTAGAGCCATTCCAGTCTCCAGTTTATTTCTACAATAGTTCTGCATGGGGGAATGCTACCAAAGTTGCAGTCAAAGTAATACATTGCAAAAGGAAATGGTGGCAGATGGCCCAGAGGCTCACTGAAGCCTTAGTTGCTGAAGGGCATTTTTCAGAGAAACATAAGAGGTGACTTTGGTTCAAGAATTCAGAAACAGAGGGGGGAAAAAAAGGTGAAGTGGAATTTCTATTAGTCATCAGGCAAGCTGGGGAGATGGCAAAATAAGCTGAGCAGGTTAGCTTTCTGTCTTTTTTTATCCTGCTGTAATGTGAATTCCTAGCCCTCATAAAGCCGTCTATACTTTGCACAGCATACTTTCAGAAGAGGGATTAAATATGTTTGTTTTGAGATAAGTGTAAAGTTGCACTAGAGATTCTTGATTTCTCTGTCGGAGAAAGCATGCAGCCTCTTTATGTAAGGGAAGGCCTGTGTATGGAAGGACTGCCTTAGGGACTGAAGAAAAGGAATACTCTGCAGCTCTTGATCTACCTGTGAGCTCCTGCCTTAACTAGTTCATAGTTTGGTGTGTGCACAGGGGTCCATCAGAAAAAACTTACCAGGGTGTGGAACTGGTGTCTAGGAAAATAAGACTGCTGACCCCCACCAGCAAAATTGATCCCCCCAGCCCAGTTAGGCATGCAGGCTACAGATGTCAGGTGATAGCATCAGTAGCATTCAGATACTATGGTCAGCCAGTAAATTTCCTTATTATTTAAAATACAGTAACTCCTTTGGGGTTACATGGAAAAGCTCAATTAGCTATTATTCTCCATGAGGTTGGTCAAACACTGGAACAGGTTTCCCAGGCAGGGTGTGGGTTCTTCATCCTTGGAGATGCTCAGAAGTCAGCTGGACACAGTCAGCTGGATATAGTCCTGAGCAACCTGATCCAACTGTGAAGTAAGCTCTGCTTTAAGCAGATGACTGACTCAAATAAATAACTTTCAGAGTTCCCTTCCAACCTAAATTACTCTGTGATTCCACTGGAAAGAGGAACAGTGCTCCTGTCTGGAAAAACAGCAGTGGGTGAGCCACAAATGAGAAGGCAGGATCCTGACTGCTGCAGGAGATGGGCATGAAGGAGAAAGGCTGGAAAGGGAGAAGATTTTTAGAGCCTTTTCCTTTCCATGGTGTCCGCAGATCTTTGCTTTTGAGAGCAAACATCTCTTGGACTGTTCATACAAGCATATCCCTGCCCAGCAGCAGGTTTTCCTTTCTGACCTGCAGGGCACTGGTATAGACGTGCAAGTGCTTTCAACTCCAGCTGCCATACTCTCACATGGTAACAGAGCAGGATGTATCTACCCAGAGCTGATTATAGAATATTTTATGGATGTGAAATTCAGTAAAGAGGCAAAACAGGTTTATAGTCTTTCATGTAGCATAAAATAATAGAAACAATTTTTTATTTTAAAACGTGTGTTTTGAAATAATGCCAAGCATATTGACTTGCTTTACTGAATTCTAAGAACCTTTCTAAAGAATTTGTTCCAGGTGGCATTAGGAAGGATTTTTCATCAGGATTTAGTGGAGGACAGGTCTGAATTCTTGGAAGATTAAATTTGTAATCAACCAGTCATATCAGGGAAGCAATAGGATGTTTTCAAAGGGTGAGATTTATCATTTAAATCTACATCATTATATTGACATTGTTATCCTGATTTGTATTTGTAAATCCATGCTGTTATACCAGTAGGGCTTCAGTTCATCACTCTGAGTGACAGGCTGACTGGGGACAAGGCTGCCTGCCTGCATCCCAGGGAGTGTCCAGACGGGGGCAATAATCCACAAGAGCAATTTGAGAAATTGGCTCCTGAAGGAGCTCCCTGGTAGACAAGACCCAGTCATGTTGCAGGTTTATGATCAGGTCATGGTCAGAGAGTTGCTCACTTGAGGTGTGACAAGCATATCAATCTC